ATTAAGATACAACGTTTCTTGAATACAAAAATCTACAATGTTGTGCAACATCATCACACATATATTTATATTTTTATGTACAAAAATTCTTAAAATATCTTCAAAGTCTATTCAATCGACGTGACAATTAATATTTTTTTCTAAAAACTTATAGTGATTTAAAGAAAATCATTAATGAAAATCCTTAAATAAAAAAAAAAGATTTTTCTGAGTCTTTAGTATATTCTCTTAACAAATTTCGTCAGGAAATAATTTTTGAAGCATGCGTGAACCATGATTTGAGCGAAATAAACGGAGACTTGCTTAAAGAGCAGCGGATATCCTAAAGTTTCACAGACGTTATAAGCATATCTATTCGCGCTTTGCTTTTCCATTTAACTTTTTTGTTGTTACCGCGATCACGCGTGACTACTGTTAATGATTTCAATAGACAGAATCGACGCGTCGCGAGAAGTCGTGCAAATGTCGCAAGAACTTTGCGCGCTTATTGTCTGGTTGTTCTGAGTTCGCGTCAGAATTTGTTTATGAATTGTATCGTTGTCTCTCTCTTTTTCTCTTTCGATCAACGATTTTCCATTCGATTAATATAAACGATTGATGAACCTCGCAATTTTCGATATTCATCAATTTTATTATGTGAAATATGTACAGATGTACATTATTTATTTTCTAATATCATATATTTTTAATTAACTATAAAATTCTATCAATTCTATCAATTTGTGTTGCAATTATGTATATCTATATCATATTATGAATAGTTGTTATGTAACAGAAAGCTGTTTACATAATCTTTTTAAAAGTGGATCTTAGTTTATCAAAAAAAACTGCGAGTGATCAAACTAATAATAAATCACCGAAATTTTTTCGTACTTTTCTATTTTTCGAGCAATTTAAAAAAAAAGAAAGGAAGGACGGATGTAATGCTTTATGTTGGGCGCGGCGGCCTACGTAAAGGTTAACGTTGTCCCACATTGCCATTAATAAATGAACATCGAAGAATCGATAGTCGTCTATGTGCGGTTAACGGTGGAACAGTGTGGTATAGTGTTTATTGTCTGAAAACTCATATTTATTTTAGGTTACCAAACGTTTATTTGAAAGTTTGATTTTTACTTTCCTCAAAATAAAATTCTATGTCATTCACATGAAAAATTATTAAAAATAACTATCTATTATAAAATAAATTCTTTAAGATGGGAACATAAAAGAGCACAAGATAAAAATAGCAAAAAATATAAATTTAAGAAATATATATATATATATATATATATATATATATAAGTCTAAGAAAGTTTTAATTCTATTTTTTGATGCTCATAATTAATCTTATTTATCAGAATTTAATTGATTTAATTATATCTTCTCTTATTTCGCTAACTCTTTAGATAAAATAATAATTACACTCGACGCAAAATACATTACGGATTCAGTCTTCTCGAATGGATTATGGAAGCCCCGACCATCGATCCGTTCATCTACCGAAACCTTGCAACATTTTTTAATTGACATAGTGAATGTGACAACCATGATAGAAATGAAGAATGTCTTTAAATTATTGAATATACACATAGTTGAAAAGAAACTAAATAATTTTTTGAAGGAACGAATTGGAAATGTAAAATAAAATTCATATTATTGTATCGTTGAATACGTGATTTATCTACAACTTATTAAATTAATTTTATTTAAAAATGAATATATTACTTAAATAAATAATAAAAAATTTTTTCTTTATTACATTACTTATTTAAATTGTTAAACATATTATAATTTATTATAATTAATAAATTAAATTGATAATTTATTAAATTAAATTATTCTATATATTGTTCGTTAAGTAAAATTTTAAATTCGTTAAGTAAAATTTTCATTTATACCTCTGATTATATTCATTTCTGTGAATATTTTACGTCCACTTAGTCACGTTAAACAAAGAAATTAACGTTACGAATGTAATATTAAAATCCTAATTGTATCCATGTCTTTAATTAAATAAAACATAGGATTATATAATAATTATGTAATATTACGAAATATTAATATATAACTAATTTCGGTATTATATGATATGTTTATCTTTAGCAGCGTTTTTCTTATGTTTACATACAATCACGTAGAGTATTTCCATCACGTATTTCTCTAACAGCGAATTGTATGTTAATTACATGTTACAGCAGCTTCATTCGGAATATAGGAGCACGTATACATGGCATGAGTATACAGGACCCCATCAGGAGCACACGGTTGTGCGACGTGCGCCGCAGCCGCCACCGTCAAGTGAGTACAGCTAGAATATTATTTTATTATTTCTGTTATATATAGTAAAGATTAATCCTAAACAGTAGGAAACATTAATCCTAAACAACAAACTTGTTTGCTGGCAAAAGACATTAAAACGCGTACCACAACGGGGTATATATGTGACATTTCACACGTGATATAAAGATTGATTTCTCGTGTGACATTTTTAAGATTCGTCACAGATGTTCACGTCACAATTCTGCAAATGGAAATGTATTAATAAATTGATAAATGTTTTGTGAAATATATATATATATATATATATATATCGATCAAGAGGAGAATGTATAACGATCGAAGGATTTATATTTATACTGTTTAGGCTTGATACGTTAGATAACTCCACGTCACTCGAGCGTGAATCGGCCGTTTTATCTGGCATTTATTGACTATATTCTACACAGACATACATAATAAGTTATTTTTATTTTAATAAAACATCTTAATTAACTTTTAGTCGGAAAGAAGAAATATTCACGCCAATGCACGCTCCCGAGAGCGTCGCTGAGAGAATCGTTTACTTTTTCTCTTTATATAATATTAGTCTTTTAAAGAGTGTGATTTCGTTTATTCGTATTATTATTTATATCATTGACGCACTTGCTCTCCATCATATTCCGTTCATTTTATACACACTTCACAACATGTACAAAGTACATTATTTTATGTATGTATATGTATATATATATATATATATATATATATATATAATATATGTATATTAATATAACTTATAATAAATTAAAATAAATAAATAATAACAACAACACTTATCTAGTATATAAGTTATTTATTAGTATATATAATAGTATTAGTAGAAGAAGAAACACACACACACACACACACACACACACACACACACACACACACACACACACACACACACACACACACACACCTAGAATATATGATATAGGATATATCATATAAAGTGTGTGTTATAAGATGTTTTCTCCGAAAACTTATTTAATTTAAAATAAAACGAGAAACTTTCTTTTTATTATTTTTATGATTTGTTGAAATCTTTTAAATAATAGAGACAGTGCCGCTCTAGTTTTTCCAAAAGGAATAAAAAGGGGCAAAACAATATTTTCATAAATAAAATTATATGGATTTTTTTACATATGATTCTTCTAAATTATTTCGCATATAAAAATATTAAAATAAAGTTATAAAAAAATTAATGGTTTAAATATTTTATACTTTGTTCTGTCACTTTATTTTGATTTTTGATCTTATTACTTTTGTATATTAGAATAACTTGAGGAATTATGTAACAAAATTATATAAATGTAAAAAAAAATCAATACAACTCAAATAATACAACTAGTAATACATCTAATAATACAACTCTATTAAAAAAAATTAGGTATTATTTCTTTTATTTTTTCTGAGAAAAACCAGCAGCAATACGCTGTCTGTTTAAAAGAATCCATCGAATTATAAAAATGTATGATAAATATGGAAAAGGAATTTTCTTGTTTAAGAGTTTCGAAAAACACTTGTAAAACACTTTACACGATATATATGTGCGTGTGTATATATTATATTTTTAGCTATATTTTTTTTAAGTTTCCATTTTAAGTGAGCTACGTTAATAGAATTCCAATGTAAAACTTATCAGTTACAAAAAGTTAATAAAAATTGAACAGTTTCATTAAATAATGATATTTCTTGATATTGGTTGCTACGAAAAATTCGATTTCAAATTTATCAGACATTTTGATCATGATTAAAAGAAAAATCGCAAGTTATGGGATAATCCTATCTACATTTCGATATTGTGTATGCCACGATATAATTTTTAGATCAGCATCACGCATCACGTGATACATACATATTGTCTATATATCTGTTTCCTCGATGTATTCTCACTTGGCTCTATTACTGATATCTCTGTGTGAACGCTTACAAGTTAGAGAGAGTAGACAAGAAGATTTAGTTTAGTAGTATGCATTTTTACCTATCGGTAATGTGAATTCGTTTTCGGCTCATCTTTCGAGAACAGATGCCAGCTGTCGATCGGATCGGTGATTTCTCCCTCATTTCCACTCGATTGAGTATCTCGGTAATGCACGATTAAACGCGAAAATGTGATTCTTGGCCTTCAAAGACATGTTGGCAGATAACCGCGATAGTTGCACAAAAATTGCTTCCTTAAATGTTCATTTTTCTGTTCATTTTTAACGTAACGACAGACGTGGAATATAGCCGACATTTAATTAATTATAGTTTCGATATAATAGTTAATATATGTATTCAGAGACAAAGTATTTACTGTTTAATATCTGAGTAATGAAGGATTTTTTAAATTGAAAATATTAAACCGCATGGTGATAGGAATAAATGACGAGGAGAGCTTAAATGCGAATTCCTTTAATTCTTGCTTGGTATTCAAGGAATGATGATTCAAGGAATTTCGAGAATCTATTTAAGATTACGAAGCGTCTCTTTCAACTGCAGTAGGAACAATAATAGCTGCAGAGATCAAAATTTACTTTATACTAAATAGAAAGCTAATTTAACTTGAAATCTTCTTGTTTACTTAAATTTACATCGAAATAGAAAGTCAAACTCATATATAACTCATATATAACTTTTCTGTTATTTATTTTATCAATACTATATTATCAATTATCTATATTATCTATATTATCGATACTATATTAATTTTTGTGATCATTAATACGATTTGTAAGGGTATTACAAAAAAAACGGATAAGACAAATAATAGAATTTCTGATAAAAGGCCAATAACCGCAAACACTATTGCCATGTCAGAATTCATTTTCACGTCGATCGTCGATTTCTCAGCTGGTCGTCGTTCGAATTTAATCGTTCACGATCTCGCGCGATCTTTCGCGACCTCGTTTCACGTAAGGCAATTTGGCTGCAATAAATTCCGCGCCATTGACTTTCCCATCTCGTCGACGGTACTAGCTTCTGGTCTCTCTTGAAAAATGAAATAAATGTTGGATCGTGAACGAACGAACTCCGCTCTCCCCATTCGCGTAATCTTAATTCGCGGACGATCGTTCTTTTTTTTCTTTATCTTTTTCATGAGTTGATTGAAGAGTCTAACTCATATGTAGAGTTACCAGTGGTTTAGCTTCTGCATTTTCAAAGAGAAATGAAAGAGAATTATAATTTACCATAGAATTTTAATTATACCATACGATTACGAAATAACAATATGTATGCGTGAGTCTTGATTAATTGTAAAAATTTGTGATCCAAATGGAAAATGTTATTATACTAAGTATTATCGTTTCATCGTGTTATATATTTTTGTTCACGATACCACTGGAGATTTAGAAGAGATATCACACCTCGATTATCGAAGAACTTCAACGGAAAGAATGGTGCCTAATCTTTTTATTTATTAGTCTCTCAAAGAGATCATTATCTTTTAAATCGTTATATTTTTGCTATTTCTTTAATATGTCGCTTTGTTCAATATCTCGCAATATGGTCAAAGGTAGAATTTGACATTCGAAAAGAAATTTCGATGAATTCAGTAGTCATACACGTATACACATGGATAAACACGCACGTTTTGGAATTTTCCTTCTTGAGATCAGGGTTATATGATCGATCATGACGCAGAGTCATCGGTCAAGTAAAAAAAAAAACGAGCGTTAAAGGGAGGGCGAGAGAAAAATAAGACGGGAATAGCAAAAGAGAGAACGCGGTGCCAGCTGCGAATTTTGATTGCAGCGAAGCAACCAAGCGCGAAGCTACAATCGGCCAAGTCAACCGAGGATGAAAACAGCGAAGGTAAGACGAACGATTCGGAGCTACGCAAGTGTCCAGATTTTATTTCTGATTTTTTTTTTTTTTTTTTCATTTCTATTTTATTTTTTCGGAAAAACCTGCCCCTTCCTCCCTCGCCGCCGCCACCGCCGCCCCCCCTGCCTCCCCCGCCTTATCCGGTTATCCGTATCTGCCATATTAATTTGCTAATAAAAATGCTTGTAGCTGAGTGTGAACTTCTTCACTGAATGACCGTGACATTTATCTCAAAATTCATCTCAAATCAAATTTTTCAACATTTAGATTTTATACATAATGTATGTATATACAAAGTATCTGATAATAGCCGTATCATTTCTTCTTGACAGATAAAATAGATTAAACTGAACAGAAGTATCTGCTGTTATTTTGCGAATTTCGAAATAATTAATTTATAAATATTATAAAGATCCATGAATCTACAAATAATAGAGTATCTGTTTAAAACGCATATCAATCCATTTTACCACGCGTCTAGCAACTATAAAAGCATGTAATGTTGGGTTGTTTCTTTGCACGAATATACACTCATTTATAGATCTTTATAAATTAATAACTCGTTAATTGTTGCGAAAATTACAAAAGGATAGAAAACTTGTCTATTCAGTATAATTCCTTTACTCACATGAGAAGTAATACGGTTATTAATGGATATCTTATCTACATATATATATATATATATATATATATATAATTTAAAATATATATATTTAATATTTTGTTTGTTATGATTTGTATATTATTTATATATATTACTTATATTACATGTACATTTAGTAGCATTTTTATTCTTGAAGAGATATACAGTGAAAGAGTTAATTGAAAGTAGTTATTGCAAAAGTTCTTTCGGTCTCTTTCTAACTTCTTTAAGACATCATAATTTAAATATTTAACTATTTTTCTAAAGTGTAAATGTGTGAAGATTTATGAAATATTAAACTTCTTTCAATCCCGTAGAAAACTTATAACGAATCTACTTAAAAACCGATAGGACTTTTCAATACGATTTTTCAATACGATTACTTATAGATAATTCCTTATTAATAAGCTAGATGCACTGCAAAAAATTATTTTTCCTTACTTATCCTATTCATTTTCCTTTTTAATACTCATATTCACCTGTATTAACGCGATGCTTCTTTAACATTAATTTTCACATATATAATAATAATTATTATAATTTTATAATTTGAAAATAATCATTAATAACCGTTACATAGTTGCATCGTTATTATCGATCTTTCTGTTTCGTCTAATCAGAAACTTGAAGGCTTTTATATAAATTTAGCTTTTATATGAATTTAATTTTTATTTGTGCATAAAAGACGAAAAAATGGTTGAAAAATTTTACCTGTATAAATTTTATCGACAAATCCCATTTGACAGGTAAAATTTCGATTTTTTTTTTCTACGTCATGTAAAATCGATCGATGAATAGCAATATTTAGACTAAAACGATGTGTCATAAGATATTTCACTTTTGCATATCTTATTTTGACAATCTTTACGAATTATTCATCATGATGGCAAACTCTCGTTTGCCTGCAAAAGGAAAATTGCGCAAAGCATGGCTATAAGCCTATTATTATTCCGGCGAGAACTGCGATTAAAGCAGAATAATGTTTGTGAAAGGATGAAATTTAGGGCGTGCATATATCATGATATGAACATGATTGTGATAATATTATTATTGAAAGCAAGGCATACACCATGCATTAGTATTAATAAACATCAGAACTTTAATTTTTTATTAAGCTAAATCCTTTCCTCTCAGTCCAATATTATTAAAATTTATTTTTACATTGATTATCATCCAGACTCTTGGACAATAATATGGTAGTTTTGAATATTTTTAATCACATGTTTCATACTTTATTCTACGGAGAATTTCCATTTATGCCGATTATTATCATGAAGTTAAATATAGCAATTTTAGTTTCGTGTCAAGTATCAGCCTTTCGTGGATCATCTAATCATAATCGTTTGTGCGAAACAGTAAAACTTCAAAATATATTCTTCAATAGATACATACGTGTACATAGTTCAAATATATTTGGAAATTTTATGATTTATCTTTTTTTAGCAAATTTTTCTGCTAGAATATTTTTCTAAAACGAAAACAATCTGATCGGAGTTCAGGTGACTAACAGCTTATGATGCAGATTTTTCTTGCTGTGTAAAATTTACGTTGAACACACGAAAGATATTTATTTAGCACTAAAATCCATTACTATAAAATAAATTAGCAACATTAGTAATGTATTTTAGTAAATCATAAAAATTTATTATTTTGAATAACCCCTTGATTTATAATTATTCGTTTTTATCTTTAAAAGAATGTGAGATTCTTTTACAGAATGTTTATTATCTGAAAAAATCTGAAAAACCTGGAATTCTCAGAAAATTTATTCGTACCTTGAAAAATCAGGGAATTCTCAGGATATTTTATTGAAAATCTTCAGGGAATTCTTTTGAAATTATTTTTTCTAATATTTTATCTCTATATTATAATCAAGAGAGTTCATCAATTGAATTATTAACGATAACAATAAATCCATCTACTTTTCTAAACATCAGAGCACACTAGTTTTACACAATTTAATATTCAATATTAAAACCAACAATTTCATGTTAGAAATTTTGTTTAATAAAGATTTTATTTTAACGTTTTTATAAAATTTTGTTGATCAATTATATATTATATAATTTTTTGTTCATGATTTTATAATTTTTGAAAATAAAGTTTGAATATCTTATTTTTGCAATATAAAATATTTATATTTCTTATATGTAGTTCTTTTAAAATTTTTCAAATTCAATTGTTAAAATTCGAGTGATTAATTGATTAATTTTATTTTATGATTTATAAACTTTTATGAATATAAACATTATAGACTTTGCACAATAAATATATGTTTATTTATAAGATTAAAAATACTTTCATTTTATTTGGATTTTTTTATAAATTGCCTTGAAAATCAGAGATTTCTCAGGGAATTTCTTTTTCGAGTTTGAGTAGACATCTTGTTTTAAAATATTAAGATTTTTGCTCCAGAAAATAGAAGAAAATACAAAAATACTTTATCGAATTGAACAATATCCTTGATTTCTGTAGAATAATATTCAAGTTGGAAATGTTAAATTCGTATGGAATTTGCTGCGATCACAAATCATTGATTATCTTGCTCTCATGATTTATGTCAAAATACCTCTTTTGGTCAATTTATCCAATGTAGAGCGATGCACACGCGCGTGCCACACACACACACACACACACACACACACACACACACACACACACAACTAACTC